CAGTTTTTGTTTGCTCAAAGACACATTTCTTTCTAGCCCCAGAGATAACTGTTAGATATATTACTCTATGGTCTTTGAGATAATTGTTTGTTGTGCGGCAAGAAGTTTGGCTTTCCTGATATGTAATAGAATGTTTGTATTCTCTATATATGCTGAGAAGAAATAAACAACCAATCGGATCTTGTCTTTTTTATCTGACTCTTGATATAGACTCTTTCTCTCTTTGTCTGTGTATTTTTTCCTCAGAAGGACCGTGTCCTCAGCCCTGCAGGTAAGTGGCAACATGCCACTATTAACTCCCATTCAATATCAGATTGGAAGTCCTAGCTAGAGTGAAAACACAAGAGAAGGAAATAAGACATATGAGGCATGAGGTTACAGGATGGTGTATCAACAAGCTGTGTTATGCAGAGGACACAATTTTGCTTGCTAAAAGTGAGGAGGACTTAAAACACTTGCTATGGAAGATTCACGACTGCAGCTTCCAATACGGATGACATCTCAAGTTCAAAAGAACAAAAGCCTCACCAATGGGCCAATAGACAACATCATGACAGATGGAGAGAAGATTATAAAGCTGTCAATTATTTTTACTTGCTTAGATTAACAATCAATACCCTTGATACTAGTAGTCAGGAGATCAGGAGATGTGCTGCATTATTTGTGGCAGGGACCTCTCCAAAACACTTAAGAGCAATGGTATTATTCTGAAGACTGAGGTGTGCTTGATTCAGTCTATGGTTTTTTGAATCACTTGTAATGCATCTGAGAGCTGGACAATGAATGAGGATGACAGAAGAAGAATTGATGCTTTTGAGTCGTGGCATTAGAGAAGAGTGCTAAACATCCCATGGGCATAGAACAAACAGGTCTGTCTTGAGAAAAGTGCAGTCAATTGAGAAACATGGAACTCATGCAATATTATTCAAAATGGGTGACCCTGGAGGACATTATGCTGAGTGATGTATCTCAGTCACAAAAGGACAAGTACTGCATGGTGCCATTGTTGGTAAGTAGGACTGACATCGGGGTTGGAGGAAGACTGAGAAAGATGGGTTAAATTATGTATACTGCATTGAAACAGATGAGGGAGAAAACTGTTTAAAGGGATATGTGATTAGGTATTTTTGTCATGACAGGAGTCCAGAGCAAAGGCTGCATAGTGGAGTGGACCTGGGGGGAGGGATTGTATAACAATGAAAGAATTTTTCTTTTACTTTTCCAGGAGGCGAGTGTACTGGGGTGGGGGTGGGGGGAGGGATGGGCAGGGAGAAAAGCACAACGATGAATGAATGGAACTCTAAAGTCTCTGTAAATTTTCATTGAAATAAATAATAACAAAATTTTTTTTAAAGTGCAGTCAGAATATTAGTTAGAAGCAAAGGTGGGGAAGCTTCATCTCTCATGTTTGGACATGCTGCTAGGAGAGGCTGTTCCTTGAGAAAGGTACACGATGCTTGGAAGGATGTAGGGGCTGTGAATGAGAAGATGACCTCCAGTGGGATGGATTGGCACAGTGAGGGCAAGCAATGGACTCACGTGTGCCAGAAATAATGAGGACAGCACAGGACAGGGTTCAGGTCTCTTGTTCATTTGGTTCATTTCATGAATCACACTTGACTCAATGAAACCTAGCAACATGGGCCAAGAAGAGGTACAACTAGCTCTATATGCAGATGATAGAACAGTGTGCATAGAAACTCTAAAACACAACCAAAATAACCAACCACTCGTTAGATCTAAAAGACTTAATTTCGCAGACAGGCAAGATACAAAATCAACATAAAATGAGTTGGATTTTTCTACAGCAAGATGAGGCCTTCAGGTTGCAAGACACTAAAAACGGGACTGGGGAAGAGCCGCCTCCTCAGAGTAGAATCTACTGTGGTGATACAGAGGGGTAAAGGCTTCATCTAGTTAAGGACCTTCCTTTGCTAATGTGACAAGACTCCAAGTGAAGAGAAACAGCTGCAAATATCGTTAATAATTAAAACATGGAATGTAGGAAGTATGACTCTAGCAAAATCAGAAGTTTTCCAAAACAAAATAATAATTGGTGACTGGTATTTTACAATTGGAAGCAAAGAAGGACCAGTAGTTGGAAAATAAGGCCTTGGTGACAGAAATGAGCCTGGAGATGGAATGACAGAACTTTGTCCACTGCAAATATCTTTATAAAAAACATCCACTAAAACTATACACATGATCTTCACCTAGTAGGCTACACAGAAATCAGACTGACTACATCTGTGGGAAGAGACTAAACACATTGTGGAATTACATCAAGGACATCATCCATAAAGAAAACAAAAGGTCATTACAAGACAGAGGTTGAGGGTGGGAGGGGAGACCAAAATGGGTATCAGAACAGAGTTTGAAACTTGTGCTCGAGTGAAAAGAAGCCAAATTAAGGGGAAGAAATGCTGGAGTAAGAGAGTTGAAGATTTCAAAGGGCAACTTGCAAAGACAAAGCAAAGCATTATAATGATATGTGCAAAGAGCTAGAGTTGGAAAACCAAAATGCAGTTGGCGTTTCTCAAGCCAAAAGAACTAAAGGACAAATTCAAGTTTAAAATCGCAACACTGAAGGATTCTATGGGCAAAATTGTCAATGATGCAGGAAGCGTCAAAAGAAGCTAGAAGGAAATACACAGTTGCTGTACAAAAAAGAATGGGTTGACATGGAAACATTTCAGGAAGTAGCATATGACCAACAACCAACAGGAAGAAGTCCAAGCTGTGCCAAAGGCATTGCCAAAAACTAAGGCCCCAGGAATTGGTTAGAGACCAGTTGCAGTGCTTTAGAAAACAGATGCAACCCTTTGCCAACAAATACAGAAAAGAACTACCAGGCCAACTGACTGGAAAAGATCCTTATTTATTTCCATTACCAAAAAAGATGATCCAACAGAAAATGGAAACAATCAAATGATAGCATTAATATCACATGCAAGTCAAATATTTCTGATTATTACTAAAAAATTACTGGAACAAGAATACTTCAACAGAGAACCTCTTGAAAGCCAAGTTGGATTCAGAAGAGGTTGTGGGCATATTCTCAGGAGAAACCAATCCTTGGAGAGAGAGATCGTTCTTGGAAAGATGGAGAATCAGAGAGAGGAAAACTCATGACAAGATTGATTGGCACAGTGATTACCAAAACGGGCCAGAGCATGGTGAAAACAATGAGGAAGGTTCAGGATGGGGCAAAGTTCAAATCTGTTGTTCATAGGGTCACTATGAGTTGTAGCTGACTTTAAGCCACCAGCAACAACATATGTAACAACTTAGACAATGTTACCCTTTCTGGAGTTAACAGGGATTCAGATACCATTGCTCAAATATTAGTCTCTCTCTTTTTTATAGTTGATGTCACAGGATGACATCATACCACAGACTGCCAAGGGAAGAAGTAAGTTTGTTTTAGAGAGTGTGACACCAAGTTGTTCCTTGAAGGCAAAGATTTTGAAGCTCCATCTGACATACTTTGGGCATGTTGCC